CCCCGAATTTTCATTATTTTCAAAATGTTAAAAGCCAAGGAAAGGAAAGAGGAAGGGGGAAGGGAACTTACATTTGTTATTGAACAAACACAGCTGATCCACTCATTTCCCACCATCGTTCACCTGTTCATACAATTCGACAGTTGAATTTAAGTTGTTTTCATTGTGTTATCATGACTGGCATGTTGTTCTACAGGCTTTCTCTCCCTGAAATTTCTTCAAAACAAGGGGGTGAGTGTAACCAGGTCGAGTGTCCGTATTGTTTACTCTTACCCGACACCGGTTCCTGCTAATTTTTCTTCTGTTCTTAGTCACACTCCACCTTTCTGTATGTGTATGCTGTGTAGTGCATGTTCTGTGTGTGGCGGCGCTTCTTTCTTGATCGCTTGCGCGCAAATATTTATAGCGCTCTCTAGCAATACACGAACTGTTTTTGGTCACTGCGTGCATCTCCAAAATTTAAGAATGTTGTTCTTCTGTTTAAATTCAATACCAGGCATTCTTGGGTGTCAGCTGTGTACTGGGCATTCTAGGGCATCGTTGAGTTAACTTGTAAAGTGACGCAGTAGGAGAAGGCTGATTTTGATCCAACTACCACAGCTACCGCACGTCGACCTGTTTGCTCATGCATCTACACAGATTTTGTGCAGCACTTGCTATCATTTCCGCTGCACATGAATCATAAAGGCATGAACATATCATTTTATGGCAGCTTCGTTGGACAATATCGTCAAAGCACGTCCAAAAGAAAACCTTGAGCACATTGCAAAACTTGAAAACGAAAGTTTGCTCACGAAAAAAGACATTTTATAGCTCGCTCAAACGGTCGCGCGTACTGATGCCGAATATCACGATGCGCAACGATTGTGGAATGCGTTTGGATGTCAAAACATGGGCGATTACCACGACCTATACATTAAAAAAAACACTTTGCTTTGACTGGATGTGTTTCAAAATTTTAGAAATATGTGTTATGACAATTATAGCCTCGTTCCAGCAAATTATTATATGTCGTTGGGGCTTTTTTGGGACACGTTGTTCTGGCATAAAACTTGGCATAAAACATTCTGGTATAAAACTTGAAGGATTAGAAGGATTTATTTTTTTAAAAAGCCAAACGAGGAGGCATCTTGAGTGTCGGTGGTAAACGATATGCCAATGCTAATAACAAATATCTCGCCGATTTTAACCCAAACGAGCCCGCAAGTTATTTGTTGTATCTCGATGCAAACAATCTTTACGGATGGGCCATGAGTCAACCATTGCCACGTTGAGGTATTAAATGCTGCCACCTTCTAAGCTACCACGATGCGGTCGTATTTCACAATTGTAAAGACAATTGGCTACCCACGACGCAGACTAAAAACATGGCGTACTTTGGGTTGGAAAGGGAAAACGTCGCCACGTTGCAGTTGGGAGCAGCCAATGCAGTCGAATCTGCCAACGATGGTAAAGACAAAGCCATCACCGACACTTTTAAAACTAGCTACGCCATTCTATTAGACATTCTATGTTGATGGATCACAGACCATTTTATCCCTCGGGCTTTAAAGAACCGTTTACTTATCAGTTGGCTTTTAACGGTCATGATAAAGTATTTAAATCGACAGACAGGGCCGCGGAATATTCAATTTCAGATCCAACTTTGGAATGCGAAGTCGTGACCAACAAAGATCTGGCCCAAACCCTGAGGCAAAAACACAAAGGCTCCATTTATTACTTATTTGACCGGATTCATTTGTGGAAGAAACAAGCGATACATAAATCAGAAACATTGTGGAACATTAACACAGACCATACCATAACGGAAAAGCCAAAGAACGAAAAGTTTGAAAGACGTTTTAGCTTTGTTCAAAGACCCGGCCCTTAAAAATCCCCAACAATTTTATAATTCGCACATTACAAAAGCAATCGTCATGGTCCAAGGTAAATCGAATCAATTGTATTTGCACGGACTATTTGAATATCAACACTTTTCCAAAATTGCCAAGTTCTTTGGCGATTCTGATTCAGAATCGGCCCGATCGGTCGTAAAAGACCTGAATCTAACTGGCGTTGACATGGCCGGTTATTTGAAAGACAAGTATGGCCTTTGGCTCAATTTCAGAAGCGCAGACGACAACTAGGCACATGGGTCGGGTAGGTCGCTTGGTAGAGGCGGTGACATTTTGATTCAAATGGAGCGTGAAGCAGAAACTGCGGGGCCTTTGACAATGTACGTGTTTTGGTAAAAGATGCACAATTGACTGTCGAAGACGGTAATTTTAAAAGTTTGGTTTATTAAAATGAATATGTATAAATCACCTCACTGCGCCTTAATTGTGGGCACAACGGCTCAGGAAAAACCAAATGGATCTTGGATCTTTTAGAATGGGAATGTAAATTCGCTTTTGAAGCGATCGGAATAATTTGTCCGACGTTGTTTAAAAGAAAAATCTTGTTTAGAGCGGGTATGGATTTATACTGACGATAATGTTCACTTGTGTGATTTAGATCGAGAAGAACTCGAATTTAACGAAGCGGTCGACTTGTATCAAAACATTTTTTGATCGCAATTTTTTGGGGGATCTCAATGTTTTACACTGAAGATAGAAATTTCTTTGATCTGTGTTTAGACGAAAATGACTTTGTATCAGATGAAGAACGAAATCAGTTAAAAAGGCATTTTGCGAGACGTGAAGTACAGTAAACTGGTGTTGTTGACAGAGCCGCCAGTTTGTTTTAAATTTGTTAATTAACAAATTCTCAACTAGTTAAACAAAATTGTCATTATTAAATAATGGCAATGCTGCAATTCATTCAAGTAGTTGCCGAGTTAGTTATTGCCATTAACTTGACGTATTACACGTGTGAATACCTCCGTGCCAAGCTATATTTTAAAAAATTATATGAATGAAGTATACTCGCCGATTCAAGAGTTAAAACAGAATCAGTCCAACTCAAGCCCAACGTCAAAGACAGACTCTGTTCAGTAGTAGCCTCTGGCAAAAGCAAAAAATATGTAGGTAAAGAATACTCTTTCAAAGACATTGAAGCACTTGCACCAGCAGAACAAGAAAAATTGTTTAGTCTGTATGAAGTAAAACTTGGCAGAGAAATTGTTAAAGCGTTGGGTAACTCAATTTTGAGATTGTACACACGTCTTTTAGGCATCGCTACACCGATAGAATTTGTGGGATTTAATCGAATTTGTGTCGATTTAAAATTAGAAGAAAACCTAATGCAAGATTTAAACGACAATCCAATTATATCACAAACTATGGGCCATTTCTTGAGTGAGCTTTGTTACAAGTATGGGGTTTACTTATAACCATTGGTAGAAACCTTAATTATGACTAAACATTTGGTCATTAACAAAAATATGCCCATTATAAAAGAAGATGGAAACAAACGAGGAACAAGTAACATCACCGCCAGCCAACAGCCCAGTGAAGGTGGTGACCAAAGTTAAAAATCCCAAACGAGTCGAGCTGGGCAAACGCCTGGCAGAACGTAATAAAAAGACTAAGCGAAGCGAGCACCAAATCAGTAAACAAAATTTATCAATCTATCAGCGAAAACAGAAACTTGGGTGGTTTAGTAATCGGAAGAATTACTTTCGCGTTGTTTTGAAAAAGA